ACATATGGGTTAGTCAAAATGTGTAATGTTGCATGAAGTTTGAGTGATCATTTCATTTAATCTTCTGATGATGACATGCTATGTAATTTGTTAGCTTTGGGATACAGGAAGATTAAGACATATTTTAAAATGTCTTCTAGAAATAATGTTGTCTTTTGATGTTTCAAATAATACGGGAAAAAGACCACCTTTTGGTTATAAATGTGTTTTTTCCTGAAAAAAAAAGGAAATTGTGAAGGATTTCTCTCCTCAGAGTATTTGACTCGGACCTCTTCAAAATTCCCAGCATAGTGAGACACACACAAATCCTCCCTAGTGCCATGTCATTTGTCTTTCCAGTGCTACCTCAGTTCAAAATCCCACTGGAAACCTGAACATTTTGTGAATATGTGTGCTGAAAAGAAAGGAAAAACACCAAGAGAAAAACGACTGGTTGTTTTTTCACATAATTAAATTAATTTCAGCAGGTAGTAGGAAATTAATCAGACCACGTAAGAGCACAGAAAACTGAGAATTCTGAGATGATGTACAGCTGTGAATAATTTTGCTTAATTCTGCAGTCACATGAGGCAAGAAGAGAGGACCTTTGACACAAAAGGTACAGATTCCACTGCAGATGGAGGAGGAAAGCTCTGATAATCACTATATATAAAGAAAATTTGAAAGGCTACACCAGTGACTTCTTCTAAGGGAAACCACAGTTCTATTTTGTGACCTACTCATCACCACCTGATGCCTTCATTGTTTCCCTTCCCCACTGTCATCTCTAAGATGCCTTATTTCTCCTCACTTACAAGAATCAGATAACTCTAAAAAAAAAAAAGAGTATTTCTTAGTGTCAATATTTCCAGAAAGCCATTTTTACTCTAAGTAGAATTAGAGGAAACATATACTGAATAGAAAACAACTACTACAGATTACTGCTTTTTGGAGACAGCCAAGGAAATTTAAGTGGAAACTTCTTTGAAGACATTTCTGTCTCTGCTGAGCTAAAACCGCTGCTGACTCAACACACTTGAAATTTTTATCACTTCCTGGCACGGTTAATGACCAAAATTGTGGCACAGGGAGGACCTGGAGCCTTCTGGAGGTCTGAAACTGGAGAGCCAGGAAGGAGAGGAACTTCTGCCCTGCTGTCAGCTCCTGTCAGTGTGCAGAGGAATTTCCAGCGCAGTGAGAGCCCACAGGTACCACACACCTGCCACTGAGTGCTCTGCTGCTTTCTGCCTGTTAAAAAGGACTTTGGAATAGTGTTGGAGTCTGAGATACAGAGTGTGTGCCCTTGTTTCTGATACTTAATTATAAGATCTAGAAAAACACTGAATTTCATATAACATGAAATTAATGAGCTTGTTTTCATGGTGATACATGAGAACAAATGCTGAAGTTAGATAGGAAAAGTGTAAGTGTGTAGATTAGAAAGTTTCTTAAATCACTGGGTGAAAAAGTTAGTTTAGAGAACAGGAGACAAGGTGGAGGATTTAGGGTGTTGCCTCTTGTCCTTCTTTCTTCATGTTCTTCTCCTAGGGGTTTTTGGGTAGTAGTAAGTGATTGGGTAGAAAACACCGTAGTGCAACACACAGGTGTTGGGTCATTGGGTCACTGAGAAAAATAATTTAGTTGGCATCTGTTAATTGGGTAAATGGACATATAAAAGACCTTGAAGAAGATCTTTGATGGCCATTTTACCCCTTTTCTATCCTAGTGCACACAGCTCCTTGTACCTTGTAATGCTGATAAGAAAAAATAAACAACTGAGATAGAACAAGAGAAAACTGCCTCCCTCTCATCAATCTTCAGTTCAAAGGGAAAAAGAACTTAACCCAAAAGTCCATAACGAGACAGAATAGCACCCTGAGTTTCCTGTACTTGCTGAATATTTTATGCACTATTATCTGTTATTTTGTTATAGAAGGATGATATTTTAAATATTTCTTTGGTGGTTAGACTTGTTCTGTTTAATGTACGTTTAGGACTCTGGAAAAAAGACTGAAATAATCCCCCCAGATTTAGTATTTTGTTTTTACTTTGATTTTATAAGGCTACACTTGAGTTGCTACACTGACATTTAATTTTATGTGGACACTCTTAGCAGACTTTTACCTGGATTCACGCCACCAGCCTGTACTCCTCTAATCACCAAACCACTTGGCTTGTGGAAATAAGGTTTACAGTATTTCATTAGAAACTTCCTACAGTGTCAAATTCTCCCCAGTATATCAAAGAATCCAGAAAATGTTCTTCTAAGAACTGGATTACTTGCTTTAAAATATGGCAGACAGTACAATCAATTATGTGATTTAAACTAAGAAAATGTGAGATTAGAAAGTAAGAACACTTAAAGACAAGCCTGCTGTGGGATATCTCCTGTCCTGTTAAGCTGTTTGTTATGTAGTTTGGGGCTGGAAAATCTTATTTCTGCATTTTTTATTCTATATTTTTATTATATATATTATATATTATTTCTGCATTATTTCTTCCCTTGAGAAGTATGCAGTTGCTCACATGATTGCCAGTCTTTTCATCTTTATCTATCTCAACTTTCATGACACATATTCAGAAGAACAGCTTATAAGAACTGGAACACATGAATTTATGGCTTTTTTTCTATTTTTTTTCGCTGCTGCAGGTAATGACACCAGTGCAGTGTTATTTGGCTTGTTCCTCTTGAACTCAGCCAGCACTGGGGAGTTCTTTTTGGGAAGCTGTCACCAGCAGAGATGCTTAGCAAAAACCTTCTCACAGCAAACTGCTTTAATCACCGTGCTTTCCACAACAATTTTATTTCCTGTGAGTCAGCAGCGAGTGCATGTCACAACCAAACACTGATGTGGATTATTAACTAATTAATTAATTATGGAATTAATATAACCAAAGCTGCTCTTGATGAGAACAGAAATAATTCAGAGGATTTCTTCCTGCTAGAGGACAGACATACCTAACACTCTTTTCACATATTCAGTTCTTTCCCAGGAGACACATTTGCTTTGATGTCTGAAAAAATTGCTTTACAGCATTCACAGAAAAATAAAGTTATGACTCCTGTAGTAGCTTCCAAGGTAGCCTGTAACTTCACAAAACAGCTATTTCTTCATATGTTGCAGTCAATAGTAACTAGACAGTCTGAAATGTTTAGGAAAGAAACCAGAGTACTTCAACCACTGTAATTTTCCTGTTTGCCCTGAGGAGAATCTTTTTATTTGTTTCTGGCCAGCAGAGATTTTGTAATTCCAAGAGCAGTCATTCCACCTATTTCCTTACACTCTTGATTTATTTCAACAAATAAATGAAAACCTCAGCAACTAACCATCATCATTTTAAAAATGGAAAAAAAAGTAATCCAAAATAATCGATAAACCAAGTAAGAAACTGTGAGGACATAATGGACAATCTCTTTAACACCTTAGAAAACTCTTCCAAGTTCCTGCTCCTAACACTTGGTCACCTCAAATCACATCCAGATCTTCTCTAGCCAAATTTTACATTGGGCTTTAAATGTGAGAAATTAAAGTTGTGGTTACATTGTTTGTGAAAAGAGAAACCACGCCAGGTCCCAGAAATACCACAACCAAACAGCACCCTCAAATTGTTTATGGTTAATTCCAGCACAGGAACTGATAAAACCCTGCAGCCACAGGGACTGAAGTCACAACATTTACATTTTCAATTCAACATTTACAATTTAACATCTTCATCATCCAAAGCAGCCCAAGCTGCTCCTGTGCTGTAGCAGGAGAATTCCCTGCTCGAGCAAGAGGCACAGCGCTCACTCCAGAGGAAAACACTCCCAGGGCACCAAAAGTTCCCTGCCACTCGTGTTTTTGGGATCTGGAGGGGTCATTCAAGGCCAGGCCTCCTCTCCCCAGTAATTACAAGTGTGCCAGCGTGACCCACTGAGTGAGGAAGGTATTGATGGATGACAACAACAGGATTGAATCCCGTCTTTTGTGGGAGGAAGGAAAGCGCGCAGCGGGGCCGCGAGCGCGGCGCCCGTGCCAAACCAAGGTCAGCACGCTGACACGATTCAGAGGCGTCAGCAGCACCCCAGCACCAGGGGATTCCAGCCAGCACCACGTTTTTCAGTGCTAACCATCAACAGCAAAGGCAGATGTTGGTTGGTAACTCAGAGTTTCAGTCATTAAGTAGTGGCTGGCTGGGCAAAGACGCTGTCTGGAACAATTATGATCGTTCCTTCTTCAGGAGTCACGGATGGTTTCTACCAACAGACTTTATCAGCAAAGACTAAAATCCAACATGGTTGCAGAGCTCTCAAAGGCAATTGAGAGTCATTAAATAATGTACTTTTACTTGTATTATTTAGGCCACAGACGTTTACTCCGAGCTACTCTATTGAAATCCCAAAATCTGTGGTTAGCAACTGCTTTTCAAATATAAAAACAGGAAAAAAAATCATGGCTGAAATTCTTTTCAGTGGTTTATCACTTCGTGTCTTCACAAATTCATCCTCTTGCTAATTCACTTATCTTTAACCCTCAGCCCTTGGCTCTTTCTGACAGAACAGCACCAAAACCAGTTCTGCAGCACCACTGCAAGGTTTCAGCTGCAATGATAAAGATCCAGCAGTTAAAGTTTCTACAAGCAGTATTTCAGAGGAGCTACTTCTTCACTCCATACCATGTGTATGTATCACAGCACGTGGCTAATGGCCAATATCTCCTCACAGGAACAGATAAAACCAGTGACATTTAAACTGTCCTGCTCCAGCTTCCTGTTCCTGTAGGTTTTTTTCCCTTTAAAAGCTTCACTGGTTAGCCTTCCCCCTTCCTGCCAGTGCACAACAGCATTGATTTACAATGGTTTGATATAAATTCTTTCCTTCTAAACATGCACCCTATTCAACCCATCCTCCTACACAGACTTAACCGATCCTCTGATCTTTTATTTTGCAATCATGTAATTGGATGTGCAATCTTCTGTAAGATCTCAATTTTAGCTGAATAGACAGTCTTATAAACACCCTTTCAAAAGTGGATACTGACCTTGAGGTGAGGCTGAAGGGAGCAGCAAATCCAGGAAGGAGATGCGAAAGAGAAAGAGTTAGAGTTTGTGAAAACAGAGTCCAGAGATAAAGCAGTTCAAGAATAAAGGACAAAACAAGCAGATATAAATCAGGTAATGACACACAGACACACACAATCATTCACAAACACAGAGCTGCATGTTTTATAGACATCTAAAAAAAAAAAAAAAAAAAAAAAAAAAAAAGAAATAAGAGAAAAAAGGACCTTTAGATTAGATTACACCATTTCAACTAGAGGCAACTTTCTGTAGAGAAAATAGTCTCCAATACTTAAAAGTTCTTGGAAAAAGAAAATAAGCTGTCTTACAAGAAAACTCTGGATTTGCATCATGTCATTAGCAAGTACCCTTCTTCCAGAATTCTAATGAACATTTTGAAAATACAGAGTTTGACTGAGATGAAACCTATTGTCTTCCCTTACAACATCATCTAAGGGCTTATTTTCTCTCCATGAGTAAGACATGCAATTTTTTCACTTTTCCTGCAGATGATCCCAACTTGTCTAAAGGGACTGAACAGAAAGGAAAAAACCCCAACCTCTGAGTAAAGTCCTCGAGACCTGAAGACTTGTCAAAGCTAAAAGCTCATCTTTCTTAATTTTGACACTGAAGTCACCCCTTCCAAAGAGAAACAAAAAAAGCAGCTGCCTCTTCTTCCTGCCACATCATTCTCCTGTACCAGGTGCAATCTAAAAACAATAATGACCAAACAGGTAATTTTTGACAGTTCTCTCCAACATTGTTCAACAGCAGAACTGACCAAGACAAAATGCTGGAGTCCCCTGTAGAGCACGAGGTCCCATAGGTTCATTATTGCTTTTTTTTCCCCAAATGTCTCCCATATCTTTCATAGGCATGTGCTGTCAATTTCACTGATAACAGCAAGGTAAGGCACCAAGGAACCATAAATACAGATATTTTCAATCTGGTTTTAAATTTCATGGTTTTTAAGTCAATAGAAGAGAGGCAAAGGAAATGTCCTTCTGTCCAAAGTAGCAATTTGGATTTTACAACATTTGTTGTACTTCTCCCATGGCAAAATTTCACTCTAAAAAGGCAGGATACAGGCTGGATAAAAATATTTCTATAGGACAGGCTAACTGCTATATTCTTTATTACTCTTGGTATATGGAGGCATGTAAATGAAATTTGAAGTCCTTATTTATGGCATAAATTTTACTATCAACCGTGCAGGGTGTTGAATTTGTACAAGCAGCTGTTGTTGGTCTGTAACAGATTAACTAGTGCAAAGGTACTTTTCTTTGGCTTCTGAACCAACATTCCTCAAATCCAGCTCTTCAAGGACAGCTGTTGTAAAGGCTTTATTAGTTGGGGATTTGGGGAAAGATGAGACTTGTAAAATGCAAATACCACATCTCAGCGTTTGATCTTGAAGTAACTTATAAGGCTCCAAAAGCCTTGGTTAATTCATAAAGAAAAATGTGTAAGTAACAATTCTGACTGAAATCCAAGACTGCAAACAGATTTAACAAAAGGGAACAAAAATGTGAAAATAAAAAATTGGTTAAATATGGGAATAAATATGGTAAGGGGAAAAATGTAGGACTTCTCATTTTGTGTTTTGGGGATCCTTTGGTTGTGTTGTAATGATGTGATATTGTTTCTTCAGTTTAACAGTGAAAAACATACAGGCCACAACTCAGAACAGCCCAGGGGGATTTAAATGAACCATACAGTTCTTCCAACTGCTGTTAAAGGTAGCATCTTTTGCTGGCACAGGATGAAGGCAAAACAGTATGTACAGCTGAGGTCACTTGCAATTTTCTGTGTGATACTGAAGTATTATTTAACCAGCTGCATGGGTTTTAAACAGAATAATTATTGCTACATCTCCATTTTGTTATGGAATAATTCCTTCTTCCAAAGAAAAAGACATTTTGTGTAATTGCTAGCCCCCTTTTCGAAGCTTTTGTTACAGAAGTACAAAGTATTTTTCAGAAGTGTGGATTTTTAGAATTACCATAGTATTTACCCAAACAAAAATAGGGACTATGTCTGAAAGCACATTTAAATTAGGAAAAAAAAAGCTCTGTAAGTGTGCTATGACTCCAACTAAAAGCAAGGCAGACACCTGCAAGTGTCAGCTCTTGGGAGGTAAATGGAGACCTGCCATGGGCTGGAGCTACATCAGTGAAATTGAACAGGAGCACAGCAGGCAGCAGCCCCAAGCAAGCAGGACCAGGGACACACCAGACATGCTGGTCACAGAGCAGAATCACAACTTCTGTTTGCACCTTTCCCTTCCAGCAAGAGCACAATTGCAGCATTCCTCCCAAAATCCAGCAGCAGCAGCGCTCCTGCCCAGCCCCACCAGCACTCACAGGGACAGCAGACAATGGTAATGCCAGCTGGCAGGCTCACAGAAACACACTCTCCTTGAAAATACATCTCCTGAACTTTAAAGGGTGACTTGAATCTGATCACTGGGTGAGGATCAAAAAAAAACCTTAAGCATTTTAATTAAGAAATCTATATTTTAACCAAAGCTGTTGGTTATTCCAGCTACAATTTTTTCCCACACGCTTGTGTCATTATAGGGAGTGGAATGAGCCTGCTACATTTGTCTGAGATGTACTTAGGATGGAGTTTATGTAATGGTTTTCAGTCAATTTTTGAATTCCCCTTGTCTGACAGTGAGTGATTGTGTATATTTATTACTCTGTCACTCCTTCAAAGCAATCTGACAGGGAACAATAGGCATTTGATCTTCCTTGTGTCTGTCAGAGCAGAAAGGCTACTTACGTTTACCCCTTTTGAAATGTTCTCTTGATAAAAAAAAATGATGGCTGGTCTCTTTTCTAGGTTGGTATTTAGAGGGCTAGGGAAGAGATGGAAGGCAGAGACAGAAGGTTTGTGTATGCATCATGCACACATGTATGCATGGGTCTAAGAGCACAAACCCAGCCACAGATGGCCACAATGGAGCACTAAAATTACTATTTCACTGGCACTTACTGCATATTCCCTTTGTTCTTTCTGCACTCCAAGACAATGCCAGGACCTGACACTTTTATTTTTACTGTATCAGTTGTATAAAAGAGTTTTGGTGGGGTTTTTTCTGCTCCTTTCACAGTAGGTTGTGAGTATGGATACTCCCATATTGCTCAAAGATGTTGAGTGAAATAAAGCTACAGAGCAGCTTTTGAAGGGATGTAATAAAGGCAGGTAACAATGAAACTGATATGCAGACTAGGCTCGTTATTTACCTGATGCACTTTCTCCTCACGTTTATAATTATTTTAATTATATCACAGCTCTTACACTCTGCTGGTCTAACAGCTGGATTAAGAGATATCTGCTAAATAAAATCCATTATTGCTACAATATAAGGCAGATGACAACTCCTACACTCTTTACAGATAATAGACATGAGAGGAAGTGCTGGAAAGCCACCTTGATTTAATGATAAAAACAAGCAGCACCTCAGCACTACAGAAAATGTGGCAGGAAAAGAAGCCTTGAAGAAAGTTGACAATCAGTGCTTCTCATTTCTGGCATTTCTCTAGTGCAGGGTCCTTCCTGGAGGGTCCAAGGTCAGACCCTCAGTCTCAGATTAGCAGACAAACCACGCTCTGAGCCAGCCCAGTGCTGAAGTTTGCCAATTTGCTGGTGTGCTCCCAGTGCCATGGAATCCATGGAATCACTCTGTGTAGGACAGGGTAGGACAGTCCAGGGCTGCTGGGACAGCGAGGGAACACCAGGTCTGGGTGGCAGCTCCTCCAGCCCCACTGCTCACCACACCTGGGGCTCTCTGACCTTCTATTTCAGAACTGCAATATCACAAATTGCAGCTTCTCCCAAAACACAGGAGGAGGGAAAGAATGGGAAATAAAGGAGAGCTAAATAAAGAACAAATCGAAGGAGGGTATCCCATTGTATGAGAAAGGTGGGGATGGACTGAGGAGTCACCGTAAAATCACTGTGGTGGGGTTTTTATCTGCTGCTCTCTACAGATGGATTTGCAATTCCTGGCAGTGTCTCTGTGTCTCTCTTTTCCTCCTTAGATGTAGGTTTCAAAAGCAATTAGTGAGTCTGAGTCTGCTCCTAAGGCCCTTTAACAAAGGCTGATTCCAGGGGGCAGAAGCTCTCTGAAAGTCAGCACACTTTCAGGTGTCTGCAGTTAAATACCTGTAAGCAAATGTGCCTGCATCTTTTATTGCTATCTGCTCCAAGAAGTCATGTTCATATGAAATGTTTTTTGTTTTCCCCCTGTGAAACTTGACAGGGGACTTGAGGTGAAATGCTGATCTTGTATGCAGATACAGCAAGGCTGAGAAGAAAGAAATTACTTCTTCCTTTCCTAGCTTGGAAATTATGAAAATCTTAATATTCAACAGATCTGTGTGCTCAGAGGTGGAGCTGGACTAACTGTGGGCCTGATCACTTCTTTCCATTACAAAACCCTGTCCTCAGTTGCTTGCCAAATGTTCAAAAGTTGTGCTGCTATTTCCCATGACAGGTTCAACCTAACTGGGGATTTTTGTGAAGAATTTCAGCTGTGTCCTTCACAAGAGGCAGCACTTTTATGGAAAAAGTTTGTTCATGTATGGTTAAAAATTGTATCGTTTCACATAAAATGTGAATTAAAATTATAAGGCAATCTTCATTTCAGAATATCCTAAGTTTTGAGTGATTCACCTTAGAATTTTAATGTTCACTTAAGCTACAGATTTTTGAGGGAAGTGGATGAAAAACACAACAACAACAGATTCTGCCTTGTAATAATGCCATGCAACTATAAGATAAATATATTTGATTTGCTGTATGTTTTATGGCAGAAAAATGGATTGAAGTATTTTAAAATAATATTTAATTGTTTCAGGTTTTCCAATGCCTGAATCAGAGTTCAATTTATTTTTGGAGGACTATAATCAGTTAAGACAATACAGAATTACAGCTATACCATCTCTCAAGGTTAACTTTAGCAGTGATGATTATGACTTTTTAAACA